TCCAGATATACCACTCCTGGGTATATACCCAAAAGATGCCACACCATTCAATAGGGATATTTGCTCAACTATGTCATAGCAGCTTTATTTGTAATATCTAGAATCTGGGAACAACTTATATGTCCCTCAACCAAGGAATAGATACAGAATGTATGGTACATTTACACAATGAAATATTACTCAGCAATTAAAAACAAAGAAATCATGAAATTTGCAGGCAGGCAAATGGGAGAAACTAGAAAAGATTATCCTGAGCAAGGTATCCCAGCAGAATCATTCATAATTTTGAGACAGCATTTTTCACTGAACCCGGAACATTCTGATTCAGCTTAGACTGGCTGGCCAAGCAGGTCCTCAGGATCTCTTGGCTTCTACTTCTAGAGTATCTAGATTATGGACATGCTTCATTGTCCTGGGCTTTTATTTGAGCTCTGGGATTAAATTCATGTCCCTTTGCAAGCAGGGAAAGCAGTTTATTGACGGAGCCATTTTCCAGCCTCCTTGGGTAACATCTTAGTAACAATATTTTTATCACAGGACCCAATACTTTTAATCATAAACTAAGTTAGCAAAATATTACTTATTGGAATACTTGTTACTCTGCATACTTTTAAGAATTACCATTAAAAACTGAAATATAATTTCTAAGACTTCTAGGAACACAAAGAGCTTTCACTGAACATCGTCGTTTAGTGGGGAAAATCCTCAGCTGAGTTGCTAAGAAACTTATTATCTTTCCTCACTGAATCAGAAATCAGTATGTGATCTGAAACATGATAACCCACATCTCACCTTTAATATACAGAATTATAGACTGTAATATGTTAAATTCCATCCAAGTCTGAGAACTTGTGAATTAATACTTAATTCAATTCAATGATAAAAATCAAATTTATTAACCCCTAAATCTGTCAAATGCTCTGCCACAATCTGAATATTCTAAAATGAATCAGACATTAACCCTGTTGTCAATTTCCATACAAAAATACTAGAAACAGTGTCCATGACTGAGGATTCAACAAAGAGTATGAAGGCTGCTTTTTGCTTTCTAGCAAAGGTAGGATACATGAGAAAAAATAAGAGTATAATCTGCCTAAGAACAGAGCAGAGCCTGGAAGAGAACAGGGTGGGAAGAGATTCCTTGAGAAGAGAGGAGATAGCACTTCAGATACAGTCACCCATCAAAAAGGAAGATTTTTTTGATACCTTCCATTGGTAGCTATGATATGCTTTTAGACAACTAAATGTCAAGTTCTTTGCTCACACTAAAATATAATCCCCATAAGTTATAATACATATCAATAATTTTCTGTTTGAAACTATAAATAATTCACTCACTGATTTTAAGTAGTAGAGCTAGTTCGAAAGCTAGGAGAGTTTTGCAATGAGTAGGAGTGAAATTGGAGCACAAGCCAAAGATGGAAACTCAAAGGGCTTCCCGGGAGGAGTGAACATTTAACTGGTTCCTCTGGGGCTGCACTGGGGAAGAGGAAGCAGCATTTACAAATGAATGGGTTATAGCTAGTGCAAGTCAACTTGACTTCTTAGTGTTTGGCTGAAGTTGTTACATCTACCATGTTACCTTTACAAACAGAGGGGTGCTGAGGAAGGTTGAATGAGGAAGAGACTCCCCTCTAAACATGTATGTATTCTGTGCTTTTACATTTTAGGACTATTCAGGTATTAACATTCCTACATTTACTGGCATCAGTTCAGAGTATAAATTTTCTTATCTTGTTGCATTGCCAAGAGCAATTAATTATATTTCAGGCTACTACCTCAGTCCAGAACCCATTTCCCAACTCTCCTAACTGGTCATTGTTATTACCTTTTAAAGACTCAAATAAAATGTCATATTAGAAATGTAATATTAGGTAAACATACTAAAATCTGTACACCTAAAGAAGCTAAGCAAAAAAGGAGGACCCTGGGTTAGATGATCAATTCTTATTCAGAAGGCAAATGGGATGGACATCTGAAGAGGGAGAAAACAGGGAGCAGGAAAAGAACCTACCACAGAGAGCCTCTGAAAGACTCTACCCTGCAGGGTATTAAAGCAGATGCTGAGACTCATAACCAAACTTTGGGTAGAATGCAGGGAAACATTTTTTAAATTAATGTATTTTTTATCAATTATACTTTATTAACTTTGTATCCCAGCTGTGGCCCCTTCTCTCATTCCCTCCCAATCCCATCTTTCCTCCGTCATCTCCTCCCATGCCCCTCCCCAATTCCACTGATGGGAGAGATACTACTACTCTTCCCTTTGACGGTCTCATCAGGACTGGCTGCATTGTCTTCCTCTGTGGCCTGGTAAGGCTGTTCCCCCTTCAGGGGGAGGTGATCAAAGAACCAGCCACTGATGTCCTGTCAGAGACAGTCCCTGTTCCCATAACTAGGGATTCTCATGAAAGAAAGGGGAGATGAAAGTTCCTGTCTTGGAAGGAACAAGAACTCCAAGAGGAGACCAACAGAACCAAAAAAAATCTGGGCCCAGGGGTCTTTTCTAAGACTGATACTCCAACCAAGGACCATGCATAGAGATAACCTAAAACCTCTGCACAGATGTAGCCCATGGCAGCTCAGTGTCTAACTGGGTTCCCTAGTAAGGGAAACAGGGAATGTCTCTAACATGAAATCAGTGGTTGGATTTTTGTTCACCTTCCTCTGAAGGGAGAGCAGCCTTACCAGGCCACAGAGGAAGACAAGTCCTGCTGAGACCTGATAGGCTAGGGTCAGAGGGAAGGGGAGAAGGACTGCCCCTTATCAGTGGACTTGGAGGAGGGGTATGGGAGGAGATGAGAGAGAAAGGGTGAGATTGGGAGGGAATGAGGGAGGGGCCTACAGCTGGAATACAAAGTGAATAAATTGTCATTAACAACAAAATAAATTAATTTAAAATAATGTCATGTAATCTGTAAAATCTGAACTATTTTATCATCTCTGCTTCCAAAAAATAAACAACGTGCTTAATAAATAAACACACTCTTCTATTATAGATAATATATGGTAATTTCTTTTGTAGTTCTTATATCCAGCAGTTTTCTCAAAATAAGACTTTTGAAGAATGTACAGTAACACCAGAGAGAATTATTGACACATTATAAGGTGTCTTACTTAATCCTGTATGAATCAATGTCTCTAATGAGAAGAGCAACAAATTTTCATTAATGTTTTCTATTCGATGTTGACATTGACATCTGAGAACCTCTGTATGGGCTCTAAGCTACTGGGTCACATTTCTTTATCTCCAGTGGCTAGCGGTGACTAGCAGAGGACAAATGCTCTAACAAAGGATTTTTACAGTATATTACTCACTCTGCATCTGCCCCAAATTGGTACTTAAAAACATTTGGCTATTTACTTAGAAACATTTGTCTTTGTAACTGATTTCTCACAGCATGTCTTTAAATTTATTTTCAACAATACACAGTGACTTAAAACACAGTTCTCTCACCTTGCCCAGGAGGCAGGAAGCAGAATACTTCTGGTTGCTTTCGAATTTGATGGGACAATAGGTAACTAATTAATGAGTTCCCCCCTCCCAAATTATGATAAAAGGGTGGTTTGGTACTTGTAATTTCATTTCTGGCAGTGAAATCAATGTAAATTCATATAGGAAAGATCTAAGCCAACCGAGAAGAATTAATCATAGAGTTTAGGGCAAAAGAGACATATAAATCGTATATATATGAGCAAATCATCTGTAATTAAATTTCTGGCTTAAAGAGAGGCTATAAACCAAAGCAAACAGCCCATTTTGTCAAGTATTCCACCTAAGTTGCAATCTCACTGAGAGCAGGGGGAATGTTCACGCATCCCTTCATCCTCAGACACTTACACGGTGTTAACATGTTACACACATCTGTGTTGACCTGATTTAAATTTTTAGCTATGTATTGCAACTTCAAATTAAATACAGAAAAAAGCAGATATACTATAACATGTATTATGGAACAAGGGAAATATTCTAATCATTTTAGTAATGCATCAGGAAAATAACTGTGATAAACAGCCAACGATGTGTGCCCATGTACACATAACACAGAAAATAATGTAATCATAATCTTTAAAAATAAAAGAACCCAGCATAAAAATCTAGAGTATTAGATTTAAGAGCAAATAATATTGATCCTGGTTCTAAGATGCAATCTCGGTATAGTTCAATGATTTCACAAATGGGTACAAATGATTTTTATAAGATCTGTAGGTCTCTATTGGGTCCCTGCCCTCAGAGCTAAGAAATCCCATGGAAGAGGGGGCAGAAAACTTTAAGCATCAGAGAGGATGGAGAATACCAGGAAAACGTGGTCCACTGAATCAACAAAGCAAGGCAGATATGGTCTCACAAAGATGGAGGCAGCAAACATGGGGTGTGTAAGGGTTTGCACTGGGTCCTCTTCATACATTCGCTTGGGGTTTTTGTGGGAATCCTAAGTGTGGGAGTGGGTTTGTCTTTGTCTGTTTTGCCTGTTGGATTACCTTGTCGAGCCTTATTTTGAGGGAATTTGCCTTGTCTTGCTGTATATTGTTTTGTCAGTGTTGGTTGTTGACTTTTGGAGGCCTCTTTCCTAAAGGGAGACAGAGGAGCTGTGGCTCCTGAAGAGACTGGGAGAAGTAGAAGGAGAGACTGGAGTCTGGATATATTGTATGAGAGAAGATTCTAGTTTCAATTTTAAGAGAATGAAGTAAAAGCATATGGAACATAGCATAAAACATAACAAACATGGAAAGGATATTCTTTGAGGATTGCTCGAAACACACCATATTCTGACCTAAATTTTTAAGATAAATCGCCAATAAGTAGCTATGAAAAATAACTAGGAATATAACAGCTTGGAAAGATATGAGTTCATGTGATGGCTTGGTTATCTGCCTTTAGATTCCAGAGTGGAGTATAACTGCACAAAACTTTCAGATGACTAATAAGATAGGAGGAATCAAACAACTAGACAAAGTGAGCCAGCAATGTGACATTTCTGCATTCCTGTTGACTGTACCTGTCTTTTGCTGTTGCATATTTGGAAGAAGATTTTTATCACTCTGCAGATTGCACAAGGCACCTTGAATACCAGCATGCCTATTTAAGCTGCTGTCTGGGATCCACACTTTGTTTTCTGAAATGGAAAAAAATGATAAAGTAATATAAAGTATAAGGTAAGGTAAGTTCCACACCTTCAATGTTCACGGGACATGGACAGAATATTAAATCCAGAAGACAGGGGGAAGGGCTCTGAAAAGCTCTTCTGCATGTGATACAGCCATTGCAGTCACGAACTCACAAGAGCTGCTGCTGCCTGCACTACGATTCCATAAGACTTCACAGGTCAACAGTGAGTCATAGATACAGGAGATGCTCGGGCATTTCTACCCCTTCCTGGAAATCTCCTGATAGGCTGTAATAATGTGATTCATCTTTCAGTTGTATGATCCTACAGGGCTTCAATGGATAAGCCAAACTCACAGTCACAGAACTAGTGCGGTTAAATTCAACAGGTCACAAAACAAACAGCAACAAAAATACATGAACTTGGAAAAAAAATAATACTTGTGGGGAAGAAAGGTGTCCTTGTTAGTTTTATGTCAACTTGATGCAATCTAGAGTCATTTAGGAATAGGTAGTCTTTTTTTTTTTAATTTTATTTTATTTTTCTTTTTAGTTACATTTTGTTAACTCTGTGTCCCAGCTGTATCCCGCTCCCTCATTCCCTCCCCAACCCCACAATCCCTCCCTGGTCTCCTCCCTGCCCCTTTCCAAGTCCACTGATAGGGGAGGACCTCCTCCCCTTTCATCTGACCCTGTTTTATCAGGTATCTTCAGGGCTGGCTGCAAAGTCCTCCTCTATCCAGTATATATAAAGAACTAAAGAAGCAGAAAAGCAAAAAACCAAGTAATCCACTTAAAAAATGGGGAACAGAGCTAAACAGAGAATTCTCAAAAGAGGAACATCGAATGGCAGAGAAACACTTAAAGAAATGCTCAACCTCATTAGCCATTAGGGAATAGGTAGTCTTGAGAAAACACCTCCATAACATTGGACTGTTGTAGTGCTATCTGCGGAGTATTTTCCTGATTAATGATTGATGTGTGCAGGCCAATCTCACTGTGGGGTGGTGCCAAACCTGGACTGATGTTCCTGAGTTATATAAGAAAGTAGGGCAAGCAAGCTGTGAGCAACAAGCCAATAAGCAACATTCCTCCATGGCTTCATGACTTCTGCTTTAGTTCCTGCTTCCAGGTTCCTGCCTTGACTTCTTTCAGTGACAGAGTATGATATGAAAGTGTAAGATGAAATAAACATATTCCTTGAGTTGCTTTTGGCCATTATACTTTATTGCTCTAACTACGACAGGGAAAATCAATAGAGATAGAATAAAAATGAAATAGAATAGTTTGTAAGAGTAATCATAATACATATATGATACTGGGAGGGGCTTATGGGGGGATACAAAGTGAATGAAGTGTAATTAATAAAAATTAAAAAATAAATAAATAAAATTTAATTAAAAATAATATCTCAACATATTAGAAAAAAATCACTTAAATCCATTGCTTATTTTTTCTGCTATACTGCCAAACAATATTAATCTGAATTAAGAAACTTTAGCAGAGATGTATTATAAAATGCAGTCTCAGTTGTAAAATAAAGCGCATTGAGCTCCTGTGCCTTAATAATAAAGAAAAATACTATAAATGTCAATAACATACTCAATGTTCATAGAAATAAAAAGAACTTTTAAAGCATATGACAATATAAATTAAGATACAATAGTTTATGAACAAAGACACTTCTGTGTTTGTGGTGGGGGGTAAATAACAAAGCTCTGCATTTACTACTGAATAACATGACAACCCCCTAAAATGCAGTTAAACATATGAAGAGTACATAATGTAAATGATGCCAAGACCTAGCATTACAAACAAAACACCAAAACTCAAGTAATGGAAAATCTACCACAATTTCTGGATCCATTTATCAGTTGAGGGACTTCTTGGAATACTCAGCAATTAAAAACCAGGAAATCATGAAATTTACAGGCAAATGGATGGAACTAGAAAAGATCATCCTGAGTGAGGTAACCCACAAGCAGAAAGACACACATGGTTTATACTCATTTATATAGATGTGATGTTAGACATATAATATAGGATAAGCATACTAAAACCTTAAGAAACTAAGCAAGAAGGAGAACCCTTGGGAAGATACTCAACCCTCATTCAGAAGGGAAAATGATATAGATTTCAGACACGGGAGAAAACAGGAAAAAGGACAGGAGCCTACCACAGAGGGCCTTTGAAAGACACTACTGATCAAGGTATGGAAGCAGAGGCAGAGACTCATAGCCAAACTTTGGGCAGAATGTATGGAATTTTACGAAAGGAAGGGAGATTAGAAAGACCTGGAGGGGACAGGAGCTCCACAAGGAGACCAACAGAACCAAAAAAATCTGGTCCCAGGGGTCTTTTCTGAGACTGGTACTCCAAAGACCATGCATAGAGATAACCTAGAACCCCTGTACAGATGTAGCCCATGGCAGTTCAGTGTCCAAGTGGGTTCCCTAGTAAGGGAGGCAGGGTCTGTCTCTGACATGAACTCAGTGGCTGGCTGTTTGATCACCTCCTTCTGGGGTTGCAGCCTTGCCAGTCCATAGAGAAAGACGATACAGCCAGTCCTGATGAGACCTGATAGGCTAGGGTCAGATAGAAGTGGAAGAGGACCTTCCATATCACTGGACTAGGGGAGAGACATAGGGAGAGAAGATGGAAGGAGAGTAGGACTGGAAGGAGATAGGGGAGGAGGCTATAGCTGGGATACAAAGTGAATAAATTGTGATAAATAAAAAATTTAATTTAAAAAAAATTAAAAAAGGAAAAAAGAAATAAAAATATGATATAATGTAAAACTACTGAATCGGGGAAAAAAAATCTCCGTACAAAGTCCTTGACGTGATGTGTTTTATAAATAAAACTAAACATAAAGTGATGGGATAGTCAGGGATAGTCAGCAAAGTGCCTGTCACTAAAGGCTAGGGGCCTGGGTTTGGACCCCTAGCTCTTGTATAAAAAGCCAAGTGTGTCAGAGGCCACTAAAACCATCAGTCCATAGTGGAGACAGGGTGATCCCTGGAGTTCAAAAACCAGATAGTCTAGTGATTCAGAGAGCTCCACAGTCTTGCTATAAAAGAAAGAAGATGGACAACAAATAGAGAAAACACCAAACGATGACCTTGGTTTCCATATGCACACAGATACCTGCTTTTGCCTACACTCAATGCAACTGTGTACATGCTCACACATGCATGCTCATACGAATAAAAAAGGAAAAATAAAAAGAATAATCAATTCCAATACTTTTATTTGGAGAACTCTCTCTACAAAGACGTGGGGAAGCTCACAAAAATTAGGAAGTGAAAAAAAATGAATAACAAAAAGTTCACATATCTGGGAAAACTGAAATTTACAAGATTCCTGAGGACTCCTTCCCAAGATTACAGAAACAGTACACTTCTGGAGGACACTGACAGGTCCGGAAGCCAAGAGGGAGTTCCCAGATTGCTGATCTGCCTTAATCTTCCAATTCAGCAATTGTATACAGTCACTCATGTTAGGGCGGGAGATTCATTGATGATACGTTCATACAGTGGCATATTATCAGCCTTAAGAAGAAAGGATTGGTTTCCTTTATAAACACAATTTTTAAACAGCGATTTTCAAACTCAGTCCCCTGGAGTTTTGGAAGTTTGGGGCATGCATAAAAGAAAAAAAAAATGAACCTATAGTGACTCATATTCTAGTCTTACTTTTTTTATACTTCATTTTAAAAACATTCTTTCTTGCACATGATAAAACTTGGGACACTAAGCTAAATTAAATATGCTGGTCCACTTTATGAATCAGTTAATTAGAATAAGAGAAATTATACAAAGAGGCAGAAGAATGCTGGGGGTTAATGAGAGGATAATGAATTATGTTTAATGAGAATAGAATTTTGATCTAACAAGGTAAAATGTGTTCTAGAGACAAGTGGCACTACCAATGTTATTTATCATTATGAAAGTAAAAAGTGCCACTGAGTCACACACTTAACAACAGTCAAAAGTAAATTTATTTCTTTTCTTAACACAATTAAAGACGATACAAATATTTCAGAAAGACACTGAAATTACATATTACTGTTAAAAATTTAGGAGATCCTGATATTTTTATGATTTGTTTTTAAGACAAAATTTAAAGATAATGTTTAGCTGAAGTGATTCTAAGAGATTTGCTGCTTTGGGATATGAAATGAGTGCTGATTTAACATTCTTAACACGATCTTCCACCGATATTCTTATTGTCTTTTCCTAATTTCTGATATCCTCAAATATGACAGCATACACAACATCAATACTTTCAGAAAAAAACAAAGAAAAGGTTTTAGTCATGGAATATAGTTGCCTACTATGCTATTATATGGTGGTAGTTTTTGTTTTTTGTTTTTTTTTTTTAATTGAGTGAGGATTTGACTGGAGAGTCCCAAAGGTCATGACTTCTGATCAGAATTTACCTGTGACTGTTATCCCGGAACAGGAATCGCAGCATTCTATGCTTGATGAAGGAAGAGAGTCGAGTCTTTCATTTTTATCGGGAGTAAAGAACTTCTCAAGTCCTTGATATGGCTCATTTATAGGTTTTTTTCTGAGGGCTATTTCTTGTAATAACTACAAAACAACATTTAATGTTTGTTTATTTCTAGCTGGCAAAGTCATTCATACATTCACTGAGTAATTTACTATGACCTTGACACCAACTCTGTTGTGATAACTTTTAGGGTGTAATAGGGAGACAAAATGATCCAATATTTAGATCCAATAAATGCAACACTGTTACTATAAACCGGAAGTTGTTATTAACCCAAGAAGGTTGAAAATTTACAAAGTGAAGTAATTTTTTTCTGTATTCAATTTCTTCTTCCCTCAGTAGAGTGGCTTTCAACCTCCAGAATGCTGTGACCCTCAGGTTGTGCTGGCTCCTAACCATAAAATTATTTTCATTGCTACTTCACAACTTGCTGTTGTTATACATCACACTGCATGTCTGACATGCAGGATATCTGATATGCTACCCCTGTGAAAGGGCCTCTCCATTCCCAGAGGGGTTGCAACCCACAGGCTGAGAACCACTGCGCTAGCACCTTTTTCACATGAATTAGGCTAGAGTGAGGAAACTCTGACATATGTTTCTGAACTAGTGTTTGTGTTTATTAAAAAAAAAAAGTTTAAAAGATGAAGTAAAATGCCAATGAGAATAAATCTGATGTGATGATGAACGTGGATGAAATCCAAGTTACCCAAATAGATACACAGCCTAAAGCAAACACATTGGAAATTGAGGAAAGAGGAAGAGAAATAACTTTTGATGTTAATGTAGTTATAACCTAGCAAATCTTGACCGTGTGTCTTTTAGAGTTAGTACCTATACTTATTCTGCCACCTAACTCACTATTGTTCAGATTATGATTGTGATTAAAAGACAAAACAAAACATGTTCTAGACATGTTGGCTTGTACTTATATTCCTGACACATAGGAAAGAGTGGAACAGCAGGATATCTATGAGTTCAAGGGCAATCTGAGTTACAAAGATTCTAAGTTAGGATTTCTCTTGCTGTGACAAAACACCATGTCCAAAAACAACTTGGGGAGGAAAGGGTTTATTTGGCTTACACTTCCTCATCAAGGGTCACCATCAAGGAATTCAGGACAGAAACTAAAACAGGGCAGAAACCAGGAAGCAGGAGCTCATGCAGAGGCCATGGAGGAGTATTGCTTTCTTGCTCATCACAGTTTGATCAACCTGCTTTCTTATAAAACCCAGGACCTCTTTCTTGTTTATCTTCTTTAGGTGTATAGATTTCATTATATTTATCATATCTTATAAGACTATTTGAGTGAATATATACCATGTGTGTCTTTCTCCTTCTGGGATACCTCATTCAGAATGATCTTTTCTAGATCCCACCATTTGCCTGCAAATTTCATGATTTCCTCATTTTTGATTGCTGAGTAATATTCCATTGTGTAAAAATACCACATTTTCTGTATCCATTCCTTCGTTAAGGGACATCTGAATTGTTTCCAGGTTCTGGCTATTACAAATAAAGCTGCTACAAACATGGTTGAGCAAATGTCCTGGTTGTGTACTTGAGCAAATTTTGGGTATATGCCTAGCAGTGGTATATAGCTGGGTCTTGAGGAAGCACTATTCCTAATTGTCTGAGAAAGTGCCAGATTGACTTCCAAAGTGGTTGTACCAGTTTACATTCCCACCAGCAGTGGAGGAGGGTTCCCCTTTCTCCACAACCTCTCCAGCATGTGTTGTCACTTGTGTTATTCATCTTAGCCATTCTGATGGGTGTAAGGTGAAATCTCAGGTTCGTTTTGATTTGCATCTCCCTGATGGCTAAGGATGTTGACCATCGCTTTAAGTGTTCCTCTGCCATTCTATATTCCTCTACAGAGAATTCTCTGTTTAGCTCCGTACCCCATTTTTTAATTGGGTTATTTCATTTATTGCTTTTTAACTTCTGTAGTTCTTTATATATGCTGGATATCAGCCTTCTGTCAGATATAGAGTTGGTAAAGATCATTTCCCAGTCTGTAGGCTGTCGTTTTATTCTGACAACAGTGCCCTTTGCTTTACAGAAGCTTTTCAGTTTCATGAGGTCCTATTTATTGATTGTTGCTCTTAGAGCCTGTGCTGTTGGTGTTCTGTTAAGAAGTAGTCTCTTGTGCCAACCCGGGGTAAGATGATCAATCTTCACTTAGAAAGACAAATGGGATGTGTATTGGACTTAGGAGAAAACCGTAACAGGACAGGAGCCTACTGCAGAGGACCCCTGAAAGACTCTACCTAGCAGTGTATCAAAGCAGATACTAAGAATCATAACCAAACCTGTGGCAGAGTGAGGGAATCATATGAAAGAAGGAGAGTTAGTATGATGTGGAAAGGATAGGAGCTCCATAGGACCAAATATATCTGGGCACAGGGTCTTTTCTGAGACTGACATTCCACCAAGAACCATGTATGGATATAACCTAGAACCTCTGCTCGGATGTAGCCCGTGGTATCTCAGTAACCAATTGTTTTCCCATAGTAAGGGGAACAGGGACTATTTCTGACAGGAACTCAGTGGCAGGCTCTTTGACCTCCCCACCCCGCAAGGGAGGAACAGTCCTGCTAGGCCACAGAGGAGGACTTTGCAGCCAGTGCTGAAGATACTTGATAAAACAGGGTCAGATTCAAGGGGCAGGGAGGGAGGGAGGGAGGAAGGGTTTGGAAGGGAATAAGGGAGCAGGATACAGCTGGGATACAGAGTTAATAAAATGTAATTAGTAATAAAAAAATATAATAAATAAAAGAATAAATAAATAAATAAATAAATAAATAAATAAATAAATAAATAAAACCCAGGACCACTAGCCCAGGGATGACACCACACAAAATGGACTGGGCCTTCCTCCATCAATCATTACTTAAGAAAATGAAGAGGGAGGAAACAGAACAGAACAGGAGCCTACCACAGAGGGCCTCTGAAAGATGCTACCCTGCAGGGTATCTAAGCTAGCTAGCTAGGCCCTTTACTTAAAATATGAATCCTAGGGGGAAACAAGTAATTCATACATAAGACCTCAAGATTGATTCAAGATTCAGGGAGAGTGATTATCAGTATTAACAATTCAGAATCAATGTAATTAATGCTCAAACGTACTTTGATCCAAAAAAGTAAATACCACACAATGATTCCTATAAAGCCAAACAAATATACAGGTTACCTTTAATCATCCTAAAATGATGCTGGCAACCAGTAACATAAATCATTCAGAAATCCTAGTCCACTCTCCAGGACATTATTCATAATTGTCCCTGATATTGATGAGCTCTAATATGTATGGATCATGCCATTACTATTCTAAAAAAATGTTTTTAAACTCTGAGTATAGGTTTGGCAATTTATAATAGTGATATTTTGTTTTGTACTGTTTTTTTTTGCGAAACTAAAACAGTTTACTATGGACAATTTTAGAACCAGAACAACTAAGAACCTCCAACTAGTCTATTTTTATCCCCAGTATAGCCCAAAAAAATAGTGCATAATTCAGTAGGAAGTTAATACTTTACAAAGACAGAAGTCCAAAAAGAACAACTTTACACTCAATTTAGATATCAGGAAACATCATAGCCAAAATTACCCCTGATTCTTGAACTTTAATTTTACTCTTGAACATAACAGATTTCCACATGATTTCTGGTAAGGTAATTACTTTCATTTTGTAAAGGGGAAATTACAATCAGTTCAGATATTTTCATTAGGGATGAAGAAAGAGTGAATTCAACTCCGTGAGTATCTGAAAGCAAGAATTCATTCTTCAGACTGTGAAACACCCACTCTTCTGACGTTTAATCTAAAACAGTCTCATTGTTGAATAGACTCCTTGGTGGTGCCTTTCTGTTAGGCAAGTTCTTCCTACTTACAATCCAACTTACCCCAGAGACTAGCTTAGCCAACTGCTGAATGAAGGCACTCTCTTAATGTCTTGCCTCTCATGTTGAAACTACTATTAGCAGAAGACATTTTCTGTGAAACAATTCACAGTTTTATTCCACCGTGGAGTGCAGTCCATGTTGCTTTACTGATGAACTTCTAGAGATAAAGGTCACTTAATTCGCCTTGAAAATATGAGGTCAAAAACCTAGTGTTCCACAAATGAGCACTATGCTCTTCATGACATTGGCTTAGACTATTCTCAGACGATTGTTGCTCGTCACTGCCTACTTGAAACTTGCTAAAGGACGATTAGTTTATACTGTGCTCAGATCAAAATAGATTCTTTGAAACAAACAGACCGATAACACTAAAAAAATTTCAGATACTGTCTGTAAGTCTGTTGAACATATTTTCATGAAATTCTATAATGACTTCCTGAGCAATTAGGTATAAGATGCTTTTGCTCTGTGATGACTAATGTTGCCGCTTTTAAGAAAAACACACGTGTACACAGATGACTGGATGCAGGCCCTTGCTTGCCATTTCAATCTCTGGGAGCCCATGGGAGCCCTGCTTTCTTGATTTGATATTTTTCATTCTCTCTGACTCCTACAATCTTTCCTCCACATCCTCTGCAGGGTTGCCAGCTCTGCAAGAGGCAGGGCCCAATGGAGACCTACAAGTTAAACGCTTGCTACATGTCTGGCTTTGGTCTCTGAGCACACTCCTGTCTGCTGCTGGAGGAAGTCTCTCTGATGACTGCGCCAGGTGTTCTTGTGGGGCTCCTAATAATGGATGAGGGTGTTTCTCTGGATCATTTGCCTGCTCTTGAGACTCTTTTCCTCCTATTGGGTGGCCTCATCCAGCCTTGATAAGAAAGTTTCTGCTTGTCTTATTGTATCTTCTTTTGCTTAGCTGTTGTCTCTTGAGAGGCCTGGCTCTTTTCTGAAGAGTAAAAGGAGGGGGAGTGGATCTGCGGGAGAGAAAGACAGGTATACTGGGAGGATTGGAAGGAGAAAAACTGTGGCTGGGACATATTGTATGAAAGAGGAATCTATTTTCAATAAAATCTTTAAAAAGAAAAGAAGAAAAGCACACATTTTTAACAGTAGTAATAAGAGGAATAAAAAATATAATTAACCTTTAAAGGTTTCATTTAAAATTTTTGAACTCTTTAAACCTCAGATATATGTAGTACCTAACTTGAACACAGAAGTTAATCTAAGTAGTTTAATTTAAAATAAAGATTTGTAGACCAAAAGAAATAAATAAATAAAAAATAAAACGCCATTGAGAACTTTTACATTGAGCTAATCATGCTGCATTTTGTTATTGATAAACTCAACAATGCATGCTTTTATTATTTATTCTTCTCATAGTGTGCATCTGTGTAAATACAGATCTTAAATATCTGCAAAGAAAACAAGAATATCATGTTTTCCGATATGAATTTTTTCATAATTAAATTTCAACATAGTTTGAGTTGTGTTCTTGTTAACAAGTATAGTTTTGATTCATCTTAAACTATATCATATTTATTTTAAGAGTTACCACAAACCTCATATTTTTTTCAAAATGTTCTAATAAAAGAGTAATGGGTGATATACTTTAACAATCATTTCCTGAAAATATTTTAAATTTCTTAAGTTCCTTACTATGTCCTTAGCATCTGGGTTTTTCAAAGTTATTTGATTGACTTCTTACGAATAAATAACTGCTATTGTTCTTCATTATTTTCTGATTTCTGGATTTACATGCTGAAAATAATGTTTTTCAATTTCTCCAAAAGAGGTACATTGGCATCAGAATGTAATTAGGGAATTTTTTTGCACAAGAGATTTAGTGATTAGACTAGAATATAAATTATTTAATGATGTATTAAAATTGACCTGCAAAATCTTGCAAGCCAAGTTTTACTTGCTTTGTTTTATGAAGGGAAAACTGTATGCACAAAAAGGAATGCTTTTACTGTTAGTTCAAATGCATTCTTTGTGTCTTCATTCATTATTTTGTTGCCCTAATAGAATTTCACATACAAGGCAATTTGTAAAGAAAGTAAATTTCCTTTCAGATTTTGGGGGCATGTCTTTTGAAGTCCTCCTGGCTCTACCAGCCCATGGAGAAAAGTGGAAGGAAAGGAAACCTAAGAGAGATAGAGGTGGCCAAACTTACTGTTGTAACAAACTGTGCCAGACAGCAACAGTCTTTCCACAATAACAAAGGCAAGACATTCATAAGGAAAGAGCACACATGACCTGATCAACACTTTGAGCACTCTACCCCTTAACCTTACTGCTTCATGCACTGGAGATTAACTTCCCAACATAGGAACTTTGGAAGACACAGTCAAACCATGGCAAATGGCGTGTGTCTCCTTAGATGTTTAAATTCATTCACACTAAATTTTCATAAGTCATATTTACAGAAAAATCTAAGCCACTTTTCACAATATTAAATTATTTGAATAACACATTGATGTAATGGAAGTTTTAAATTATATTATATTTCATTTTGGTTCATTTTTGTACATTTTCTCCCAGCCCATACATCTAGAATTGTGTCTTACTAATCTTTTTATATAAAAAAGAGCTTCTAGTGTTGATGCAACTTTATTTTTCTGTATTATATCTTTCTTATCATCAGTATTTCTTTCTAAAGACATTGAATTTAGCTTATAATTGAGTTTTCATAATTTTTAGGCCAGGCCCATGATTCATTGATTTTCACTGTGTTTCTTCCATTCATGAATATGTATGTTCTTTTGTTCACAGTGGCTTTATACCCTAATAAGCATATCCCTGAGTTTAAAAGGATTTTATTTTGAAATTGTGTTTAATACACCTGAGTCGTCAAATTTATACTTTATCTGGGTTTCAGCAGCAACTGGACACCATTGTGAATCCTACTAAATATTCCATGACCACAAAAAAATAAACTTCAGAATTGAAATATGGGTCTAGTAAATGTGTACTGCTTTAACAGAATAATAAAGACACAGTTTGTAAACAGAACCATGGTAAGAGACGATTTGTATACATTTTCTAGTAATTAGTTTTTCAGCTTCACCTTACATGTGAGAGCCTTTCTGAAAAGGAAATGGAGACAAGATGACAAAGAGAGAAAGCAAACTGAATGGTCTAAGATTTCAACATCTGTGAACCTTCTATGGTCTTGTGGATATTTGTAGAAGCTACCAGACAATTTTGCTCAAAAAACTGGCTTTTTTTTTCCTTCACAAATACTTTAGATGTTTAGAGAGCCACCAATCCATGTTGGCTCCCTGAGCCATTTTCCACTGAGCATTCTGAGGATAGATCAGGTCGGTTTCTCCTCCTGTAGAAGAACGAACATTCCCTAACTACAGCATTCCTCCATATATGAGTAGATAAATCAAACCATCTTCACAGTGCCTCGTGGAATCTGGGAAAATGAATTTTTGCTTTATTTTTTTGTTGAAAGTAGATACCATAATCTACTGCTTTCTCCACTGAGGTAGTAGGAAGAAAAGCTGATTTGAAGTAAGATCTTGAGTGCAAAAACTACTACTGGGTAAATTGTAGAAATTTCCTTCCAGAAAGGACTTGGATTTACCTCCCCCACATATATCATGGCATTACTAGGAATGACCAACATTAGTGAATATCTTGGTTTGGAAACTTCAGGGAAGAAGGTACATACAACTGGACAGTACATGCCGACTAGTGTGATATTATTGCTTCACAGTTTCATTTCTCAGGTCATATATTTCATTGACCTGGCCCAAATCTGTCCAGATCTGTTTCTATCACTATGTTGCACATATGGTTATTTCTCTTAGTAGCAGGTCTATCCCTCAGTGTCTGAGCAGATGTTTAAGAATCTGGAATTTTGGAGAAATCTCAGTTCCAATTTTATATTTCAAAGATGCCATGCTTTTTCATAAGACAGTACAAAAATTCAGCCTGTGCCAAACAGAGTTAGCATCAATTCAAGTTTCATCCCCCCACATATTTTAGTTCTTGTTTCAGTTCAGCTGCACAAACTGACTTTAAATAAATTGAAGGGATGCAAAAAGGTGGATTTACCTAATTTCTGAGGAGTTTATCATCAACAATCACAACTGCTATGTAGAATGGAGATTCCGAAATAGTTTAAAATATGGCTGAGTACAAGAATGAGCCACTTTGCTTGCTCCAGTATTTCTTACTTACCCATATCCTTGAAATCATGATATTCTCTACCTACATCATAGATGACGGATCATTTTCTTTGCACCTGAACTGATAATCACTTCCAACAATAAACATATGAATGTACATATATGTGTGTATTCTATGTATGTATAAATATACATATAGCTATATATTATAGACTGCATTACACTCTATTATTCATAAGCAAATTTTATTTGAAAAAGTACCATTATTCTTGATAGACCCATGTGGTGGTTCTTTAGTTCATTTGTAACAGAAAAATGCATGTTAAAATGACATTCACCTCTTAAGAATTTTTCTTATACAAGCCCCTAGTGTCTGCTCCAATGAGTCACCTTTAGCTATCACCTTATAAGGAAGCATAGTTTTGGTTCTATTTATTTATTTATTTATTTATTGTAATTTTTTCACTTTGTATTCTGCTGCAGCCCCTTCCCTCATCTCCTCCAAGTCCCACTTACCCTCCCTCATCTCCCTCTATACCCTTTTCCCTAATCTCCTGATAGGTGAGGACCTCCTCCTCTTCTAGCTGACCCTAGCCTAGCAGGTGTCATAACTACAGTAGAAGATAGCCTTTTTTATGTACTACATCAAAACATAATTTTCTTAAGTACATCATTATATATAATGTAATAGGTTTTTACCAGTGGTGGCTTTGTAGTGCTTGAATCTTCCAAGTTTGGCCTCTCATTTAGATTGCTGCATTCCAACGACCTGATGATGTCTAGAGATAAATTCTCATCCATGAAAGATGTAGTTAAATTTATGGTTGACAAGGAACGCTTGCTTGCAATTGGCATGCAGGAATCAACAGAATTTTGGTTATTTCCTGGGTATATATTTTTCTCCATTACATTTTTCTCAAAAGAGATGGTTTCTTCTAGGTTTTGGAACTCATCAGAATGAATACCCAACTCCACAGTGTTAACAAAGTCTGTGTTTGAAGATTCTGTTGCTGAAAACACATATTTAACAAGACATTAATAAATACATTAAGTATTAACTGATTATATTTTTCACAAACCAAAGTCAAGTGGTTAAAAATATTTTACTTATAAATCTTATTTTATAAAAATGTGTTTGCTTATTTCCATGTTTTACCTTTGCAGTCCAAATTGTGCTGAGATTGGGCAAAGGTTGTCAACTAGATAAAACAGCAGCAGTGAGAGGCAAAGAAGAAAGTGTGGCAGGGACATCTGCTATACCAAGACATGGATGAGCAAGACAGTATGAGTCACCACCTCATTATGTCTGACCCAAGTCTCCTGATTTAGATCATCGGTTTTCACTGGGCTGCAGACTGGAATCATCTTCCATTCTTTAAAAATATCAGCCTGTAGTCCGACCTCAACCAATTAGACACTGAACTAAAATTCAGGCAACAGCATTTGTCATTCCCTCACATCAGACTCTGTATGTGACTGACATGAAGCCAGCATGGCAAAAGCACTGGGCAAGATATTCTGTGGATTCAAAATATTTTAAGGATTTTTTGACCAAATTGCTTTCACTTTAAAGCACACCAACTAATATTTGTCTCAGATAGTGCCTAAACTATTCAACTCTTATATTCTTTCCTCTATTATATGACAGATTGTGTAAAATATACCTCAACTCTTATTTTCCTTCCTCTATTATATGACAGATTATGTAAAATACTAAAGAGTTTAACCAAGAGTTCTCTGGTATAGATTCTAGGCTATAGCTGCCAAGTGCTGCCTGTCATTACAAAATACTTATAAAACTTGGCAAATACATGAAGCATGTAGGAAATATCCCTCAACCTGTTCTAATTAATAAAACTTATGAATATCATGAGAAATGAGATGATGAGAAATATGCTTCTAAAAGAATATCAGGAAAGCTATAAGCACAGCAAAATGTCAATGATAGTCCTATGATTGTCTCTTAGAATGAATCAAATATAAAAATATATAATTTGTTAGAATAAAAGATAGGCATTGTGCATTGAAAAGTCCACATATACCTTCAATAATATATTCCAAGACTGAAAAACACTACTGCTGAAAACCTTTTCATAATTCTCTGTAATAAGTAGTGCTCAGAGTACAATAATAGAAGTGAGTAAATGTTTGGGAAAAATGTTTGGGAAAAGATATCTGAGAAAGAATTTTATCCAAAATGTGAGAATTCTTACAATCCTATAATATCAAAGCAAACAACTGAATGACGAGTATGTGAATAAACATTTCATTATAATAACACAAAGAGGATATATCAGAGTACTTTCCTAATTTATACAAAGATGCAGTTTAAAATCACAGTATCTCACACACACACACAAACACACACAAATGTTCACACTCATACTCCAACAATATACAATGGTAAATTGTATGTCAATAAATACTAAATATCAGATTTTTCTAGGTGACTGTAAATTAAAACAGTATCAAGGGCGACCAAACACTGACAAAAAAAGAATTCTGTCATCCTCTAAAATGCAGAATGTCTCAGTATTTTGGTAGAAACAAGTGGTTTAAATATGGACTGTCATCCACAGGCTAATGCCTGTTTGGACACTGCTTCTCTGATTTGGGAAGGTTATAAACTTTTGGAAGGTAGAGCCTTGTGGGTGGGAGGACAGCTGTAGAAGTGGAATTTGGGGTTTCGTATCCTGGCCTTGAATCTTGTTTTTCATCTCTGCTCCCTGTGTGTAGATGGAATGTGATAATTCTGCTTCCCTGACTACTGGTGTCCCTGCTGTCATGCCTTCCTTTCTTGACGCAAGGAACTGTGTACTTCCTGTAACTATAATCTGAAATGAATTCTTTCTTCCAACCTTCTTTTAGTCAAGGTATTTATCACAGTGGCAGAAAAAAATAACTCATTGGTTTTAGTGTAAACTATATTCATAACTGCGAAACCTTGGAAACAAAAGAATATTCTTTTACAGATAACTGGAAAGCTAAATAAATTGAAGCTCATTCATACAGTGCAACATTATTTAGTGCCAGAATAAAACGAGACTTTTGATGTGAAATGTTGACAGTGGGGAGCTGAGTGTATGTGAGTGCAACGAGAACACTGGAGTCTTTATTAGTTCTGCTCAACTTTGATGTAAGCAAAATAAATCTCTAAACAATAAACGTTAGTTTAAAACATGTTTAAATGTCTTTGAAGTAACACACAAGTATTTTTGTTCACAGTTTTCTCAAGCACAGCTGAAAGGTGACCTACCTCGGTAAAACAATACCAATTATATGTGGGTCCAAAGTGCTAATGTGAAATGTGTGTATACAGTTCCTGAGGGCCAGACCAGTTTATAATGTCAGGACAGGTAGGACTGGCATGAAGCCTCCACCCTTCCTCAGCTTCTTCTGGCCAGTTGGGTTTTCGGCAGATTTAAATACTGCCCTTGGGTATCACTCAAATTCTTCACAACGACATAACTACTCATTTCCTGAAAAATCTGAGCTTTATAAAATATAGTACTAAACTTAAAAGTCACCCAATAACTACCTTGTACATTAGCAAAAGAAAGTCAGAGAGATGATGGCATTTCAAGGTGACACAGATTGAGTGGCAGATATGAAAATTGAATCTGACTATCAGGTCAGGGCACTTCAGTGTGACTCTCTAGATAGCGATCTTAAAGATTAAACCAAAAAAAAAAAAAAAAAAAAACCCTAAATTTCCTTACAGCAATCAGAACTGAAAAATTCAAAAGACCTAGAAGAGATGACAGCACAGAAACAAAAACAGTGGATTGTTAGGCTTAGGATTCATCTCACATAAACTTCACATCCAATATGAATATTATAGGGAGTTGTTTAGTTGTATATGAAGGCAAATGAAACAGTCATCATACTTTCATCACTAAAACTTACTCTATGTGACTTTAAAATACTCATTTACTTCATAATAAGTTTTATAGAGACCCATATTGACTTTATTTGCTTATAAAAATACAACACCATTATCTATTGATTAAATATTATTTGTAAGAGAATTATATGTTTTCAATCAACTACTCATATTGATCTGGTTCTATGATGAACAAAATAATAAGGAAAATGTTCCTAGACTACTATATCTATTGATTTTATTAAATTACCAACATTCATTATTAAAATAAATTAAGCAAAAAGTAGAATGTTACCTTTTAAGTCAACCTTGTGACATGTAGAGTTTGTTCTTAAACAAAAATTTAAGATATCTGTTTTTCCCTTGTTGAAAACAAGATGTTGATGAATGCCATTTTCACAAGAAAAGCAATTCCGATGATCAGGAAATGTAGAACTTTCATGTTTAGAGACAAGCACAAAGAATGAGTTTAAAGAAATAGTCCGCGAAAGCTCTGGTATACTAATTACATAAGACCATAATTTGGTACTATTTTAAAATTTTGGTAGATATATTTCATACAATGTTAAGTAAGTGGTTTTATGTATAAACCATATATGACATAGTTAACTGCAACTAAATTGCAAAATCTCAATAGAAATTTACTGTTTATAAACACTGATGTTTAATTTTCATACATCTTTTGAGAATGTTGAATTTAGTATAATTACAATATAGTATGTCATGAATATACCTGTGTTCCATTCAGTGGTGAACATTAAGAGCAGTATGTAATACTTCATTTCAGTTGCCAACAATGAATATTATCTGTTTGCACAGCTGTTCTCTCATCACATTAACTACAGACCAAGCAACACCAAATTTTTGTGTAACTCTATAATAACAAATCTCATGGATTATAGTAAACAAAGATGTTATCTTAGGTCACTCGTGGTTCAAGAAAAGTTGATATTATAGTTCTGTGGTTACCTTCAAAGCAACACTATAAGACTAATGCCAAACCATAATGGTAATTTTCTTCACCTCCTCTAACAATTTACAGGTCTCAAAGATGACATGGGATGATGTATATTGAAAAAAAAAAATCAGACCTGAGAGAGGTATCCCAGAAGCAGAAAGGCACACACGCTATATACTCACTTATGAGTGAATATTAGACATACAGGATAAACATAATAAAATCTGTGTACCTAAAGAAGCTAAGCAAGAGGAGGACCCTGGATAAGATGATCAATCCTCACTCAGAAAGGCAAATGGGACAGACATTGGAAGAGGGAGAAAACAGGGAACGGGACAGGAGCCTTCCACAGAGGGCCTCTGAAAGACTCTACCAAGCAGGGTATCAAAACAGATGCTAAGACTCATAGCCAAACTTTGGGCAAAGTGCAGGGAATCTTATGAAAGAAGGAGGAGATGAAAGACCTGGAGGGGAGAAGGAGCTGGAGCTCCACAAGGAGAGCAACAGAAATAAAATATCTGAGCACAGGGTTCTTTTCTGAGACTGAGACTCCAACCAAGGACCATGCAGGGAGATAACTTAGAACCCTTGCACAGATGTAGCCCATGGCAGCTCAGTGTCCAAGTGGGTGCCCTAGTAAGGGAAACAGGGACTGTCTCTGACATGAACTTAGTGGCTGGCTCTTTGATCACTTTCCTTACCAGGCCACAGAGGAAGACAAGGCAGCCAGTCCTGATGAAACCTGATAGGCTAGGGTCAGAGGGAAAGAGAGGAGGACCTCCCCTATCAGTGTACTTGGGAGGGGCATGGGAGGAAAAGAGGGAGAAAGGGTGGGAGTGGGAGGGAATGAGGGAGGAGGATGCAGCTGGGCTACAAAGTGAATAAACTGTAATTAATAAAAAATAAATAAATTTTAATAATCAAAAACAAAAATAGGGGGAGGTAAGATGATTCAGTGAGTGAGCAGACTTGTTACTAAGTTTTAAGACCTGAGTCCAGTCCCGAAACCCTACATGGTAGAAGAGAATCCATTCCTACAAATTTTTCTCTGATTTTTTATTTACAAGTATATGCCAACATACATACACAGAGGTACACAAGACACTTAGATACACAGAACTAAAAATAATTAATCTTTTAAAAGTAGCAAGCAGAAATTTCATTCATTTCCTTAAGGAGACACAATAACAGATATTATTGGCTTCTAAACTGCTGATCAGAAAGTTGTATCCTAACAACACCTTGCTACCAACGGCAGCTCTCCTGTTTAGTGTTGAGAGCCTATGTCAAGATGGGATGCTGCCTGGTAATTCCAGGCATCACTCAGCCTCGGAGCTGCCGTGATACACTAGGAAGGGCAGAAGCTGATCTGAACAAAACACGAGTTGGGGGATGCTTAACAGGAGCTGGATCCCACTGTTATGTCACATCAAGCATTTATGAGGATGCACCAAAAATGCTAAATGTCACAGAAGGGAGGTAATTTTTAACTTTACTAACAGAAAAATAATATATTTGATTATTCACATAGAAACGACAAAATTAGCACAAAGCAATTACAAAGTGAACTACTATACTTCCTAGGCCAATCACATAGGAGGTTTAGCCTAAAGAGCAGCATTGTATCAGAGGAGCTTATGAACCTGATCATTTATAAAAGTTCTTATTTTAGAGTTCAAAAGAAAGCACAGTCAGAAAGGATCTTAGAGAAAAGAAGGTTGATGTACATTATATCCAACTTGGAAAACTACGTCAAATGATAGCAGCCACTAAATTCATAAGAGTATGTAAAGGAATAGAACTATTAGACAAAATTGTGGCTTTGTTGCTTTATAAATAAATATTCCAGCTAGAGAGATAGATGAGATTTGCATGGCTGGATCTTAATTTTGTTATTAATTTAGGCTATAAGTAGATCAGATCTACCCTATAGCCTCATCCTTGAAGGCAAATGCTTAGCTCTACCCCAAGCCATTCCATTAGTGACTGGTGGTTAAAGAGTAACTAACAATGGTGAATGAGAAAGAACTTACCTTAGTTGACTCTCTGCACCAGCCAATTCAACTCTGTAAGGCACTGTATTCTCTGGTTCTTCAAATTCTTCTTTGTGAGTCTTATTAAATACATGTTATATAATATTAATATTCTTAAAGTTTCAGTATAACATTTCGTATAGCCATATATACAGTTTTCATAAAGCCAGTTAATTGTGGGTGATATATATTACTTATTTCTACAAATGACTCTCTAGTTATACATGTTCCAGGAAAACAAAATTTAACAGTTTATCCTTGACAAAATTTAATATTTTTCTCAATATTTATAATTGTCACACTTGGTACCAATAATAGTAACAACTATCAATCCCAGTAGATTAGTGACTACACTTTTTCAGTTCTCTTAATGTCATATCTCTACCTTATTCTTAGACTAAAAATTTACTGAATGGTGGGGGGGTGTATATTGTGTATTTTACTAATATCTTCTCATTATTTAAAGGATAAATAAGCCATTAATAGAAGAAAGAAAAGCTGTAGTAGCTACCAATCCAGGAGCCACAGAGAAAGCAAGAGGTGGGTTGTTTCTCACCATTTTCTGAAGTAGCAATCCAAAGTTTCAGAATGCTTTGGAGAAAGTGGTAGTTCAACTATTAGCTAACTAGAGAGTCAAAGTGCAGAGGCTCTATCACATCTGAGTCATTTGGTCTGAGGTCTGCTTGACTGTTGTACTGACAATATATTTAATAACTCCCTTAAATGATAAATACTATCTTTCCCTTTACAGAAAAATAATATGAATGATATTCCAGAAACTACATATTACACCTAAGTATATTTAAACAAGATACCATTTGGTGAAATTGACCTATTGTGGAAGCTTGAAAAATAACAAACTAAAGAGACACCAAACTATACTCTGTGAGCTAATGCAGCAGAACATTGGAACAGCCCCATGATGCATGTCTCCACAAAAACGTCACTGTTAAGTTCGCATGTCCATGTGTTCTCCGAAATAAAATGGATAGTTTTATATTCATCCATTAGCTGGAATCCAAATGTGAATTTGTTCTTCTTTTTTAAAGATTTATTGATGGATTGATTGATTGATTGATTGATTGATCGATTGATTGATATAGTATTCTGCCTGCATGTGTGCCAGGAGGCCAGTAGAGGGCACCAGATCTCCTCATAGATGATTGTGAGCCACTACATGATTGCTAGGATTTGAACTCGGGACCTTTGGAAAAACAACCAGTGCATTTAGCCTTTGAGCCATGAATTTCTCTCCAGCCCATGAATTTCTTCTTAAACTCTAACGATTTTAAAAGGAATCTTACTGATAACAAGAGGACAACACAATTACAAATTTTTTTATGTTAAACAATTTGAGTATCATTATATACTTACACTATCCAGTTCTACTATTGTTACAGATGGTGGAGGTCTCGCTATATTCACTTTTTCTACTGGCATAAAAAGGGGTGGATGTTTTACTTTGATCTCCTCAACTAAGAAATAAAATTGGAAAATATTACCAAAGAACATATCAGACAATTTGCTGTCTAGAAATAATACTACCACAAATAAAAGAACAGTATTTCATTAATCTACAAAAAGATGGAAACACTGTCAATATCTTCAGCTCAAATAAAACACATTTTCTTGCAGTTATTTTTTGCATGAAACTAAGTTAAAGCAAGTAAAAGGAGATGGGGTCTCAATGTAGATCAGAATGATGCTTGGACAAAATCTGAAAGCATGTGTTGATCACTGCTTGGTTATACAGTTTTAAACAATGCTGAAAGATCTAAAAGCTCAACTGACCATCACTGTCAGCACCATTTTCATTCTTAGTGCACTGTGCCTCTGCAGTAGCCTCACGCGGATGTGTGAATGTGTTTGGGAGCATGTTACGAAGTTGTTCCTGTGGAGTTCTACAAAACAAATAAGACACAATTAAAAGAGGAAAAAAAAACATATTGATTGAACTTTCACAGAGAAGACATTTACTTGTCAAGTGAGTGAAAATTCAAAATTAACACTGAAACTTTGAGTGTAACATTAATTTATAGATTAAGATTAACAAAATTTCAATGTGATGAAAGTTTCTAACTCAATTTCACGCCACCCAAGGAGTTTTTCAGTTGCATACTGTGTTTTGTTTAAGATGAAGGACAAAGTCATGATACAAGTCAGTACTCTAAAAAAAAGCCACATGGAGTCCAAAGAATTTGCCCTGCTGCTGACAAGGCCAATTTACAAGTCTATGTTTTATCTCACACACTTGGCGCTATTTTGATGAGTTCTAATGCAAGCTGAGGGCATTGATCTAAACCTTCAGTACACAAATGGAAATGATGTCCCATTATAAGAATGTGGGATGTTCTGGGGTGAACTCAGTGGCTGGCTCTTTGATCACCTTCCCCCTAGGGGGTGCAGCCTTTCCAGGCCACAGAGGAAGACAATGCAGTCAGTCCTGATGAGACCTGATAAGCTAGGGTCAGATGGAAGTGGAGGAGGACCTCCCCTATCAGTGGACTAGGAGTGGGTCATAGGAGGAGAAGAGGGAGGGAAGGAGGGCTGGACTGGGAGGAGAGGAAACAATGTGAGATGTTCTGTCTATGGCATCTATGACCTAATTAACATGACTGGTGGGTACAGACTACTTCAAATGGAAAGCACAAAGCTTGGGAATTTCCAGAGTTCAAGAATGTGTAATTAACTCACAGATTTATGAGAGGCCTCATTTTTAATAAGAATAACTGCACAATCTTCATAAATCATGCAAGCTCACATGGTTGCCAGGCAAAAGATCCTGTCTTATGGATACTGTCAGTACCAACATAAAACTTAAAATGTGCCCATTTTTATCCTAACTACTTTTGATACATTCAGTACTAGTAGGCAGTAGATTAAATAATCTCTTCTATGATGCTATTGTGAGTGAAGGAGTTGAGAACCTGCTAGTTCTCAGTTACATAAGCAGAGAACACAGCAAGAGCACCCTTCCACCTCTGATCTGAGTACCCTTCCTCCTCACGCAGTTCCTAGCTGTGTTTTCACTTTACCATGCCTCTTTTCCTGCTTGTAAACACAGCGGATGCATTTCTAATATGGTGTGCAAATCACATAAGTACAAAATATTTTGTGTTACTGAGCTTTACATCTCAAAATTTTTTTATGGGAGATTAATTACTTCCACTGAGAATTTAACTAAGTGAGATATAAAACTATTATAAAATATAAAAACTGGCATTTGGTCACCAGAAACTGCTTCCTACTTCAGTATTAGTTTACTGTGCTAATAACTCCCTTTCTATGACCTGAGTACAAATAAGCTGTTATCCGAGTACTTCACGAAACAAACCAACTTTCGTAGTTGGTTCATTTTCACCTTTGTTTTATTCGTAATGCCTTACAGAAAATTCTGATAGCAGGGTTGAAGAGCAGAGGCACTACACATTATTTATTCTATATAAAACTCCAACCCCAGCCCCTCCCACAAAACCATAACACATAAATAAAGGTGAAAACACCTTTTATTGTAGTAGTTACCTCTTCATCTTCTTTAAAATTTAGTGAGTTTTTATTAAAATATATTTGCTCAATATCTCTCCTCTCTCTCTTTCTCACTCTGTGTGTGTGTTGTATAAACAGGTATATGCATTAGTACGCTCATGTGTCTGCAGGTGGGTGTGTGAAGGCTGATCATTCTTTGGTGTCATTTTTCAACTGCCCTCCATTTTATTGTACACAATCTTGACTGGTCTTGACCTCTCCCCCACTGGACCTTGCCCCCTTCTTGACCTTGCCCAATATAGGCTAGCTTGTCTGCACAATGAATCTTAAAGGTCTGCTTGTCTCTTCCTTCCCGGCACTAGGATTACTAATGTTTGCTACCCTGCACAACATTTTTTATGTGGATCCTGAGGATTAAAGCAGTTTCTCATGTTTGAAGCAAAGACACTACACAGACTGGTTTTTTGATTCCTCATAGACATTGATATAAAACCATTGATTTACTGACATAAATCCATTTAAATATAAAATATATCCAAGAGCTTATGGTGAGAGAACCTAGCCCCAGAAAAGTACCCACTGTTATTATTTTCCTAAGTGCTTTCTAGACACAGATTTCTCTACCCAAAAGCTAATGCAGCCTCAGTCCTTATCAGAAAAGCATCTTTGTACAGTGAACAAAACCTAAAACAAAGACTCAAAAATGATAAAAGTGGAGAGAATAAGTGCCTGCTTGGTGCTCATCCATAAATGAGATATCTGCATGCTCCCTCTTTCCCGGGCTAAGGGGACAACATGAAAGCCAAGGGAAGAAGTAATGTGCTCTGAATATGACAGGACCATTGCACACACACACATAGCAGCTGTGGTTGCTTACACAGGCTGGCATAAGTCCCAGCTGAGAAAGGGAACGGGGTGGGAAAGGGGCACTGGAGTCCCACTCCAGCTGAGGAAATATTGAAAGGTGAGGAGAGTGGGTTTGTTTTAAGGGTGTGGTCCCTGCTGGTTGATCATTCTCCAGCAGATGGCCCCAAACCCACACTTACTGGTTCAAAACTAATTAAAAGAAAAAGAAGAGAAACAACACTTTTTCTTTAATAATTCCAATTTTTAAATGCAAAAAAGTCTAAAAATCATCAAAGAGCAAAGTAGAATTATGAGTCAGCTTAGAAAGTAGAGACAGAGTGCCACCCACTTGAAATATTATGTTTTAGAATGTCCCAAAGATGAAATGGTTGGATATAACCTAGAACCCCTTCTTGTACATAGCCCATGGCAAATCAGTATCCAAATGGGTACCCTAGTAAGGGGAACAGGGACTGTCTCTGACATGAACTCAGTGGCTAGCTCTTTGACCTCCCCACATCCCATGGGAGGAACAACCTAGCTAGGCTACAGAGAAAATTGCAGCCAGTCCTGGTGAGACCTGATAAGCTAGAGTCAGATGAACGGGGAGGAGATCCTCCCCTATGAGTGGACTTAGAGAGGGGCTTGGGAAGAGATGAGTGAGGGAGGGTGTGATTAGGAGGGAATAAGGGAGGGGGGTAGAGCTGGGATACAAAGTGAATAAACTAATTTATATAAAAAAATAAAAATAATTTTAAAAAAAGAAAAAAATGATGAAATGGGATTCTTCAAAAATACATTTTTTTTACTTGGCTCTTTTTTATAATTTATTAATATTTTTACTTAATTGCAGTTGTATTAATTTTAATTAATTACAGCTGTATTTTCTTTCTCAGGGGGAGGTGGTCAAAGAGCCAGTCACTGAGTTCATGTCAGAGACAATCCCTGTTCCCATTACTAGGGAATACAATGAATTTTTTTGTATGATGAAATACAGGTTTTGCGATTGCTCTTCAACGTGTAGGCTAGAGAGTTTCTGTAACATTTTTTTTATTTTATTTTATTTTATTTTATTTTATTTTATTATTATTAGTTACATTTTATTAATTCTGTATCCCGGCTGTATCCTGCTCCCTTATTCCCTCCCTCATCTCCTCCCTGCCCCTTTCCAAGTCCACTGGTAGGGGAGGACCTCCTCCCCTTTCATCTGACCCTGTTTTATCAGATATCTTCAGGACTGGCTGCAAAGTCCTCCTCTGTGGCCTAGCAGAACTGCTCCTCCCTTGGGGCATGGGGAGGTCAAACAGCCTGCCATTGAGTTCCTGTCAGAAATAGTCCCTGTTCCCCTTACTATGGGAAACCAATTGGTTACTGAGCTACCACGAACTACATCCGAGCAGAGGTTCTAGGTTATATCCATACATGGTCCTTGGTGGAGTGTCAGTCTCAGAAAAGATCCCTGTGCCCAGATATATTTGGTCCTTGTGGAGCTATCTTTTCCACGTCATACTAACTTCCCCTTCTTTCATATGATTCCCTACACTCTGCAGAAGGTTTGGTTATGAGTCTTAGTATCTGCTTTGAAACACTGCTAGGTAGAGTCTTTCAGATGCCTTCTGCGGTAGACTCCTGTCATACATGCAATGCACATCCCATTTGTCTTTCTAAGTGAGTATTGATCATCTTACCCCGTGTCCGTTTTCTTGTTTACTTCTTTAGGTGTATAGATTTCATTATGTTTATCATATCTCGTAGGTCATTATAAGTGAGTATATAAATGTGACTCAAAGACCACCATCATAACACCCCACCACTTAGGAGGCATTGGAACTACAGAAACACTGTACTTGGAGTGAGATCTACTTTATAAAGATTATTGTTTTCCCCCGTCCTCTAGAAAGTTGCCAAGAGCAGTGATGCACAGTCATCTCTGCTTTCTAACAAATTGCATTTATACCATCCCAAGTCACAAACTCTACAGGCCTGTATGTTGTTAAAATCACCAATGATGAAAACACATCCTTGTTCATAATGTTAGTTTCATATTGTAAGTTTGTTTTAAAGCAAATTACAAAACTATGAATCTGACCATAGATCTTTGACAATTTAAAATGATTATAATTAATAAAAGTATAAAATGAAAGATCTAAATGATTTTAAACTAATTTAATTTAGAAATGTTTTAATTTAATAGATTTGTAAAATAAAGGCACAAATATCTATGCTAAAACATAGCAAAGTCATTTTAAAGGAAATCTTTATTTCATCCTTCTGTTATTATTCTTGAATTCTATACTATATTTGCACCTTTTTCATACTTATGTTATTATTCTTAATTTCTATACTTTATTTGTGCCTTTCCCCAGAGTCACATTTTTTTTTTGTTTCTTAAGGTTAAAATATACCATATACGTTCATGTGTATATAAATATTTGTTGTTAATACAAAGTGTCACTGTAATTTTAAATTGTTTTAAAATTAGTCACACAGATAAAGTACGTTTACAAGTTGCTTCAGAAAGCCATGTTTCACATACAAGGAACACAGACAACTTCTATTTCCTAGCAAAGAGTAATACTAAGATTCTACTGATTACCTCCTGTGTTTCTTAAGCCATAATTTTTCCATGTATGACAGACTGTCTTCTGAAAATTCGATATTAATTGGTTCTGTCCAAATTTTCAAATTAGTTTGTACTTCACATTCTTCCACTGAGTCTATAAAAACAAACACTGCACATAATTAATATAGCCATGTCTATGAATTACCATCTTTTTTTCTTTAGATATAGAGTCCACTGTTTATGGAGTGTAATTCTTTGGTATTTATCTGTATAAATGTAATTATTATTAGGTTATGATATGATACTAATATATCAAGACTAAGATGTAAATAATGCTAAAGTGTTTTTAAAGCATTGGTTTAATAAATGGTTCTGTGAATAATTTTTTCAAAATCTCTTGAAGTCAAAGAATCCTATGAGTCAAAGCTTTCCAAATGCTACATTATTCTAAGTGAAAAGAGGTAAATACGAACAGAGTTGCTGTATCTTCCACACACTCAGCACACACAAAGGTGTATATTACAGCCATTTCTAATAATATTTACATATTATGGGGAATAGAAAATAAATAATTTTAATAAATTAATTCTATCTTATTCAGAATAAACAGAACATCAATCCCAAAGTACTTTTGCCTTTGCAGCCATTCACTCCTAAATGCTGTTTATTTCTGAAGTAGCGCAAACTACAAAACTACTCCAGGGATATAGCTCCAGGACTGGTAGCTCTTCCAACCTCTAGAGATGGCTCCTCTCTCTATGTTGCAACACCCTCAGAATAAAATGCTGCAAAAAATAATAAAAGGAAGTAGTAGAGATTAAAGTCAAACATTCTAACACTATGCTGGTCCTAATATCATAGTGCAAACTGTAGTGATTAGCATCCACCACAGCTGATAAACTAAAATAATGGAGTTTCTCAGCTCCCATTTTTCCAATAGTATTGTGGAAAAGATATAGAAGAAATTTGGAGAGTAATAACTAGAATCTATTAAATGGCAGAAGAAAAGGGATTAGGAATGTATATTGTGAACATGAAGATATGATGGGAGGGGAAGGAGGCGTGTTTAACATGCTGAAGTTCAAAGAATTAGTGCAAAAAGACAGGGCAGGAGGAGGAAGGGGGAGCTTAGGTTGGTTCTTTTCAGAGACAAGAACCACTGTACTTGAGAAACGGCTCCCAAATTTGGAAAAAAAGAGAAGAAGGAGGATAAAGGAAGTAGCCCGTGATTTGCTTTTTTCCATTCACCAATGAATGGCACATCCTCAGGAAATAAAGATGAGACCTAGTCTTAACATGCTTGTTGGTATCTTTGGCAACTGTGCCTAATCACAAACACAGAACTGCTAGGAGAAAAATATTTGGTTAAGTATACATTCAGCAGAGCCCTTTGCTAGTTAACTGAAGGGCGTACAGATTCACGAGGTGAGGCTCCATGGGAAGAGGGCTGCATGAGCTGTCTCTGAGGCGTTGTTTGCTTTATTGCTTCTGGCTGAGCAGTCTTCTTTACTGAGAATGTGTATGAGACACTCCATCACTCATCCTGTTGAGGTCATAGGTGTTTTTCTTAATATACAAAACAAAATTCTTAAAGTAAATGGATGCCTGAAGAAACCCAGAAACACCCAGAAGACCAGAGTAGAGGAAACCAAAGAAGCCAATGGGAGAATCTTAGCAGGAAGGTGAGATAAAAGAGCTTTAGCTCACAGAGAAGCCTCTGGCCACCAAAAGCACCTAACATTCACAATGAAAAAAAGGAGTATCTTGATGGTTATAATGAATGAAGGTAGTAGTCAGTGATATACATAGCTGGAGAACTGAACATTTAAAACACACTGATCTGCTACCTGGTTATGGAACACAAAGGTGCTTAAAGTGATTTGCAATAAACATTGTACATACTAAGGATAGTATTCACCTCCATTATTTGAACAAAAATTTAAAGGTCTGAAATGGTAGGCATTGATGATAATGGGAACAAAAGAAAACTCTTACACACTTCAGATGGAGTGCAAACTGTTGAAAATACTTTTTCTGAATAGTATGTTTTTATCTAATTTAGTTGAGGACATACATTCATGACAAACCAGCTGTTCAACTCTCAAGTATTGATGGAGATGTGTTCAGGGCGAACTTCAAGACCTGTACAGGAAATGCATAGTAGTATTGCTTGACATTGTCAAAGTGAGAAACACCCTAAAGAATAATGCACATGTATACTGAGAAATAGTGGCATTCTCCCATGAGATCAGTAAAAATTAAAAGCAGGTGAATTAAAACCACGTACATTCTCATGTATAAATTCCAGATAAATAATATTGTGTCAAGGAGACATAAAATAATATAAACATCATAATTCCATATGTGTGTGTGTGTGTGCGTGTGTGTGTGTGTGTGTGTGTGTGTGTGTGTGTGTGTATTGAATAAAGTTGAAGTACTTGAAAAAATGACAATATATTTTGAATAAGCATCATGGAAATGAAGGGAATAAAAGTGTAAAACAGGTTATGAGACGCTGGAACAGATGAAGTCATGAGGAACGGCAGAATCGTAGTGCTTATTGGTATCTCCTCCAAGAGCTGTAAAGTTTACAATACTCTTTGATACATGTTAAATGCAGTATATGAACCTACATGAAATATTTACAAATATGTACAAACGCATATAACATTAACAATAAAATGTATTATTTTCCTGAGCCAATAAAAGTTAAATATGTCAAGAAGCCTTTACTTTAACCATTTCTACAAAGAATGAAGGGGGAAAGGATAGAAACAATCACTCAACACAAAACACTGTTACTTTTTTCAAATGTCCATTGTCCATTAGATTATCATAGCATCTTTCCCCAAGGACCCATAATTGCACTTTACTCTTTGCTGGAACATTACAGTTCTTTTCTTTTCAAACTTCTCAGATAAACATATATTCTTCTTCAATGTGGGCAAAGCTATATAAGCCCTTTTTTCCCTCAGACCGGTTTCTCTATGAAAATAATATTAGACATAAGATGTCTGCCACAGGCCACAATTTATCTGTGACTTCCAGTTCCAATCAGTCTTATCTTGGTGATGTTGCAATATTAGAATAACTTCTGTAACTGTACTGTAAAAAGGACAGAGAAACTACCCTTCTTGACACTTTAGAGATGACAGGGTCCAGACTACCACAGAGTAATTGTTCCTCCTATTGTAGTGGAAGCCCGACAGGACTTTTATAGATGATCACAACAGTCTGAAGGCAAAATATCCAAACTTCATGAGATACTGTCTTCTAACTAGGACCATGTTAAACCTTATGTGAATTACTGTAACAAAAAAACTATTAAGATAGAAATTTATAGAAAACATGGCACATAAATAAGGCTTACATAGAACATATGCTGTTAGCCAGACCTGATGAGACCCGATAAGTGAGGGTCAGATGGAAGGGGAGGAGGACCTCCCCTATCAGTGGACTTAGTGAGGGGCATGGGGGGAGATGAGAGAGGGAGGATGGGATTGGAAGAGAATGAGGAAGGGGGCTACAGCTGGGATACAAAGTGAATAAGATGTAGTTAATGTAAAAAAATAAAAATTTAATTAAAAATAGAACACATGCTTGTGACAGAGTAAGCAAATCTGTATCTGAAATACATATTTTCACATGAAAACAAATCACTGCAGTTCCGTTATAAAGAAAAATGCTCAAAATACCCATTCTCAGTATGTGACAGTTGTTCTCTGCTCACCAAATTCTTCTAATGACATCCATCTAATGGCCAATCACTGAGTGGAGGATAGATTAAAAAAACCCAAAATGTTACAGACTATACAATACTACACAGCTTGAAAGATAATCTGATTCTGGAATTAGACAGTGAAGGAACATCCTAGCCCTGCCACATAAATTATACCACCATTTCTGATTATATCTAGTGACAGAAAATAGAAAAAACAATGTACTTACTGTGTCAATAACTTGCACTTGTAGTCTAAATCTGACCTATTGCTTTCTGATGACTGGATTTCTGTGTTCATAAATATAAGGTTTTATTGCAACACAGTACAACTCCTTCATTCATGTGTTGTCTGTGACCTTTTTCAAACTCTATAAGGTTGCCTAGCTGAACGTGCTTATAGCAAATGTTTATCAAGTTCTGTAGTAGGTCCTGAGCTTCTATTCAATTGCAAATAGAGTGGTACATTTTCCAGTAAAGATATAGCATCTGAAAAGCAACTGTGGTTAGTTTGATAAACTTTATGATGGTCTAACTATTCTCTAAACATTGGCTTTTTCACTAAGTAATCATTGATGACAGCATTGTCCATAGTTCTCCAAAATATAGTGCTTTCAGGCATTTCACTTTAGCACACAAAAGCTACCAAGGACCTCCAAGGCTTGCAATGTAGGAGTCTTCCAATATTTACATCTAAAGAAATAAGTATATATTGGAGCCATATTTCCAATGCACCCAATATGAGGAAGAATTAAAATAAGGCTTCCTTCTTCACTTTATGTGCAATAAACCATTATAAACTAAAAGTTAGAAATTAAGAATGTTTCTGAAGTTCTGAGCATTGTCTTTTCTCCATGGCTAAATTCTGCTCCTATAGAGGCTTTCTTAGGACCACTATCCCTATGATGAAACACTATGACCCAAAAAGGCAGTTGGAGAGGAAAGGGTGTGTTTCCCTTACACATTGCTGTTCATCTTTGGAGGAAGTGACGGCAAGAACAGGGCAGGAGCCTGGATGCAGAAGCTGATGAAGATGCCATGAAGGAATGCTGCTTAGTGGTTTGATCCTGCTGGCTTTCTCAGCCTTATAGAACCAGCTTAGAGGTGAGCCAATTCACAAAGGTCTGGGTCTCCCTACATCAATTTTTCATTAAGAAAATGCCCTATAGATTTCTTTTAAATGAAAGAAAAATATTGCCAACACCAATCTATTCTTCCTATGAGATTTGTCATGGTCATATTCAACCTGCAAATTATAGTTTATGGTTTTCATGCAAACATTTGTTCCCCATCCTCTCAGCTTATGGTGCTATTTTGGAGGCCATGCAGTCTTAAAGGTTGAGGCGTCACAGATGGAAGTAAATTTCCTGGAGGCATACTGTGAGGCTTATAGTGGCATCTTATTCCCTGTCTTGTGTCTCATGTCTGTTCTACAGTAACTTAAGAAATGAAAAGTCCAGCCATCTGCTCCTGCTGCCTTGGAACCACCTGCTGCTGTATTTTCCCTACCTTGATGGACTGTATCATCTCCAACTGTGAGCCAAAATAAATAGTTTCTTCTTTAGGTTGCTTTCTCTGAGATTTGTAACACGGAAAAGAAACGTTACTTATCTAATGCATATAAAGTATCCTTTGCTTACCTGCCCTCAGACTTCCCACCTGATATCTTGTAGATCTAAAATAGAATAGTTTTCTAACCACTGTTGCCTTGCAGGAAAAGAAAAGCCAAAACGTTAATGCTCTATTCCTGTGATGTTCTGAATTTACATAGAAAACCAAGGTAAATATCCCCCCACGATCAATTCATGCTTTATAAATATTAAACAGCTCACCACTGACCGCCTAGTGTGTACACAAAGCTCCCTTGAGATGTAGCAAATTGCTCTTTATTATGTTTAAGCATTGTGTTTGTATTGCAAGAAATGGAAGGAAATAAAGATGCATTTATGTTATTATATGAATATTTTGAACAATGTACATACTTGGTTTTTTTTCATGTCCTTTCTGTTGCATGTTTTCCTCCTGATTTCCAGCTCTCCACTGAGTTAAGGCTTCCTGGAATAACTGGGCAGATGCTTCTTCATCAAAAGGCATTTCACACAAGGGCTTGAAACCTTCTCCTCTTTCGGCTGCTGTAATTTCAACCTAACCAGTTAAAAAAAAATGTAGTAAAGAGCATTTATTAAACTTCCTGTATCTTATAAGAAAAACATGAAAGGAAGATATGTTTAACTTAGAAAAGTATATTTTTATATCTCTTTTCAATGCCTTATTGTTTTTTTTTAAACTCTATTGGCAGTTCTAAATGGTCTGCTCAGAAGTTAACTATGTATGGGCCTATAAATCTGATGACTTTCTCCATTTTATCTCTGCTCCTTCCCTTCTACAGATGCTCTGGTTGTGTACACATTATCCACCCTTTCTTCTTCCCCAATCCTGTATTCCAGCAGTTGTGTGTTAGGTAATAACATCTTATTCTCTATCTAGCCAAGATTTCTCTCCTTTGGCCTCCTGAATTATGGGATTATAAGCATGCAATCATACCGTTAATGAGTATAAATGTACATGTGTGATTTTTATGTGTTCTAATATAAATCTTATGCCATCAGTGTGTCCAAAACCCTTTGATTCTCTGCATGGTTCTATCAGCATCTACAAAGATCTTGAAGAACTTCCTTGTCCTATACTGTCACTTCCTCTCCTCTTTATCATTCATCCATTCCAGCGAGCCTCACAATCTTGGATAACTGAGAACTATTAGGAACATTTCCTTTTCAGGGTCATGTACTAGTTTTCATAGCTTTTAACAACCATCTTCCTCGTGCCCTTCAATTTTCCCAGTATCACCTTCCTACAAAGTTCTCCACTGGGAATACTGAAGGTTCCTAACTTCTCTGCACCTTCTTTTTGGTTTGTTTGTTTGTTTGCTTGTTTGTTTTTTCTACTACATATTATTTATGTATCAGTTTATTCTACAGATCCCATTAGAATAAATATGGTATAAATGTTCTGTTTATCTTTTCATTAAGTACCAAATCTAGTACATGGCTAGAAAATAGTAGGTTCCCCTAACAAGCAAGTAAAATGATCAAGTTCATCAAAGTGCAGCAAATTATTCAACCCAAAGTGTTGGTTCTTTGCAAAAATCAATAATATTGATGAATCTTTAACAAAATTAACTAAAAATAGAGACAATATTCAAATTAAAAAAATTAGTGATGAAAAAGGAGACATAACAGTAGACAATGAAGAGCTCTAGAAATAAGGACATGCTTCAAAAACTTGTTCTTCACCTAATTAGAAATTCCAAAAGAAATAGATAATTTCCTTGATACATATGGTGTTACAAAGTCAAATCAAAACCAAATAAGTGATTTAAACAACTCATAACCCCCGGTGAAATAGAAGCAATAATTAAAAGTTTCCCAACCATAAGAATCACAGAGCCAAATGAATTTAGCAGAGAATTGTCAGACTTTCAAAGAAGAATTAACACTAGAATTCCTCAGATTATTTCATAATATAAAAAGAGAGGGAAAATCACATAATTCTTTTTATCAGGACATGACTAATCTAATACCTAAACCATGTAAAAAACCCAACAAAGAAAAAGAATTGCACACCAATTTCCATTATGAACATGTATGTAAAAATTTCCAATATAATACTTGCAAAAAGAATGCAAAAACACATCAAAACATGACAATGATAAAGCATGTTTCATTCCAGATTTGCAGACATGGTTCAACATATGTAAATTAATAAATATATTCACTGCATTAACAGACTAAAAACAAAAACCTGATCATCTCATTTCATAGAAAGTGTGACAAAATCCAACACCCCTTGCTGACAGTAAGCCTGGAGAGATGTGAAATACAAGGGACATAGCAACATTTTAAAGGCAATTTGCAACACACCAAAACCAATATCAACTTAAATAATGAAAAAGTTGAAGCATTTCCACTAAAATCAGGGCAATAAAAAGTTGTCCAACTCTCTGCATACCTATCCAATATAGTACTTGAAGTATTCTGGAACTCATTTTGTAGAACAGACTGCCCTCAGACTCAAAGATTACCTACCTCTGCCTTCCATGTTTTGGAATTAAAATAATAACCCAATTAAAAATACGAGGTTCTAATACTAATAAGGTTCTACTCAAGACAGCGCTCTCAAAAGATGAAAAACACAAATGACTGAGGAAAAACTTAAAATAAGTATTCAGCATCTTTATGCGTAGGGGAAATGAAAATCCAAACTACAATCAGATTTTCTCTTATAAAAATCACGATGGTTAACATCAATAAAATGAATGAGACAGCTCATGCTGGTGAGGATATAGGAAAGGGGAAACATGCATCTATTGCTGGTGAGAATGAAAACTTATACAGCCACAGTGGAAATCAGGGTGGCATTTCCTCAATTATCTGGGAATCAATCTACCTCAAGATCCAGCTATAGCATTCTTGAGCATATACCCAAAATATGCTGTGTCCTACAACAGAAACACTTGTTCAAACATTCTTTGCTGCTTTACATATCACAGTCAGAAATTGGAAACAGTCTAGACATCCATCAATAGATGAATGAATAATGAAAAATGCTACATTAATATTAACACAATGGAAAATTTCTCAGCTGTTAAAAAATGGAATCATGAAATTTGTAGGTAAATGGATGGAGTTAGAAAAAAAAAAAGTTATCCTGAGTTAGATAACTCAGACCTACAAAGACATATATGGTGAATAGTCTCTTACACATGGATGGTGGATAATATCTTTCAATAAGCATGTTACTATCTGTTTAACCACAGAGGTTGGATATTGAGTACAGGACTAGGTGACCAGGAAAGAAATTTTAAGCTTTGGGAAAACAGAATACAGTTTTGAGAAATGGAGAGGAACTGAAAATGAAGGATTAAATGGAGGGAAGAAGGGAGGAGTCATATGGAAAGTTACTAGAGTAGAAGCTTCTTAAAATACACGTACACATCAATGCAATCTAAATAAAATCACCAACTAACAGGGAAGACAAAACTCCAACTGGCTCTCTCTTGCCACTAAGCGAAATCTGCCAGGAATGGGTTAACATCTAATTGAGTTGTTTGCCAAAAGGGTCTCATGGAAACTCCCAAACAAGAGAAGCTATTGCCAAGTCTATTGGTAGCTCTCCACAAAAAAGTTTTGTCAGCTATAATCATTTCCATTAGATTTCCACTTACAAAAGTACATTGTTTTATTTCCCAACTCATAGCTTCTTTTTTCTTTCTCTTTTCCTCTGTTTGCTTTGTTGTATTCTGGCCTAATAATCTCTAGGGAAGGAGAGAGGAAAAACAGGCACGGAACTGCATGGGGTAAGAGTTGAGAAGCTGCAAAAGGTTGACAGTGGGAAAGTTGTGTTAAGAATATTCTGTATGAAAAAAGAAAATACAAAGGTCTATTTAATAGATTAATAATTTCTTTTTCTATATATCATACTACAATAATGAGGCGATAATTCTTCCAGTGATGGTTTGCATTACATCTTTTGCTGGTCTATGAGAAAAAGAAATATGCAGAAATGTGTGCACTTTCTTGTAAGGTTCGTGCATAGCTCCCCTTCAGGAAGAAATGATCATGCTGCAATAGAATACTTATGTACATGTTTGAATCTTAGGAGACTTCAGTTCAACCAGACTTGAGTACCAAGTAACAAAGCTTTGTTATTAGACAAAGTAACTCAGTCTGTGAGCTACTGAGGAAAGGCCAGTATCATGTGTGGGAGACAAAAATCATAAATAACAACAATCAGAATATGGAGTTTGTTTCTTTACTTTTCTTTTTTTTTACTTTTATTAATGACATTTTATTCACTTTGCATCCCCCCCACAATCCCCTCCCTCCTTGCTTTCCAATTCCAGCTTCCCTCCCCCTTCTTCACACATGTGCCTCCCCAAGTCCACTGATAGGGGAGATCTCCCTCTCCTTCCTTCTGTTCTTAGTCTATCAGATCTCATCAGGAGTGGCTGCATTGTCATCCTTTGTGGCCTGGTAAGGCTGCTCCCCCCTTAGGGGGAGGTGATCAACAAGCAGGCCAATAAGTTCATGTCAGAGGCAGTCCCTCTTCCCATTACTATGGAACCCACTGGGACACTGAACTGCCATGGGCTACATCTGTGCAGGGGTTCTAGGTTATCTCCATGCAAGGTACTTGGTTGGAGTATGAGTCTCTGGGAAGACACCTGTGTTCAAATTTCTGGTCTGTTGCTCTCCTTGTGGAGTTCCTGTCCTCTCCAGATCTTACTATTTCCCTTCTTTCATAAGATTCCATGCACTCTTCCCAACAGTTGGCCATAAGTCTCAGCATCTGCTTTGATAGTCTGCAGGGCAGAGCCTTTCAGAGGCCCTCTGTGACAGGTTCCTAACTTATTTCCTGTTTTCTTCTTCTTCTGATGTCCTTCCTCTTTGCCTTTCGGGATGGGGATTGAGCATTTTAGTCAGGGTCCTCCCTCTTGATTAGTTTCTATGCTGAAGAGTCAATAGAAAGATATTTCTTCCTTGGAAATGTTCAACCTTGGGGAGATATTTTTCACTTTTCCTTAATGAATTACCACATTAATTCCATTCTATTACAGAAAATAATCTACATGAATCTACTACACATATCTATACACAGATATATGTGTCTACAGATATACTATATACTTATGTATATGCACATATAAAATTTTATATATTATAATGTGTGATCAATAGTTAAACTGAATAACTGCTAGATTTTGGTATTCATCTTCCTTTATACACTGCTGAAACTGTCATGTAAAGATTTTTTATTCTCAACATGTCGAATTCTAACTAGTACAAATTTGTTATATTATATCCCAAATTTTATTTGAATGTTTCTTTCCAACACTCATACAATTTCTGACATGATCAAAATGCTCAGAAAGTCATATTGCCAAAAAGAGAAATTCTCACCAAAAAAGAATAATTTTCAATGGAATCAAGGTAACATTAGAATTACTTTTATACTCTAAATATATTCAAGTACTCAAACAATTAAATATTAACTAACAATATGACAAAGTGCATCACTGACAAAGGATATGAATGGCAGTCATTATACATAGGAGAGAACATTTCCTACTTTGTTTTCCTCAGTTTACCTCAGAGCTATTCTCCTGAAGAAGTGGGGTTTTGGGTTTATGCTGGATTTTACTGGATGCCTCTGCAGAATTACTCCCTTCACTGGGTGGATTTGCTTCCTTGATAAATTGATGGGCAGCATCTAAAACGCTGGATAAGATTTGAGATTTTGGCTATTAAAAAAGAAAAAGTGCCGTCAATTAGCTTAATAGGGCAGCCACAGTAATTTACAAACAATAAATCAAGTTTTAAGTATTGTACGGCTAATTAAATTCAATAAAATATGATTGATATTTAAAATGACAAACTGACAGGAGCCTTTCACAGTGGGGGGCTCTGAAAGACTCTACCCAGCACAATATCAAAGCAAAATCTTATGGAAGAAGGGGGAGCTAGAGAGATCTGGAGGGGACAGGAGCTCCACAGGGAGAACAAACTAGTCAACCAACTCTGCAGAGGCTGAGGAATCAACCAAAGAGCGTGTATGGGGAGGACCTAGACACTCCACTCAGATGTAGCCCATGGGCAGCTCAGTCTCCTTGTAAGGGGAACAGGGACTGTCTCTGATATGGACTCAGTGGCTGGCTCTTTGATCACCTCCTCCTGGTGAGGTAGCCTTACTAGGCCATAGAGGAAAGAGGATCCAGACAGGATGAGACCTGATAGGCTACGGTCACATAGTAGAGAAGGAGGACCTCTCCTATCGTTGTACTAGGGGAAGAACATGTGGGAGAGAAGAGTTCGAAGGAGGGTGGGACCAGGAGAAGATGAGGGAGGGGGTTCCAGCTGGAATACAAAGTGAAGAAATAATAATTAATAATAATAAAAAATTAAAAATAAAGTTACAGTATCAAAAATTAAGATAAAAATAAAATGATAAACCATCAATTTATTGTTTATTTTTTAGAAAATAATATAATTATATTATTTTCCCATCCTCATTCCTCCCTTTAAACCTTTCCAGAAACCATTTATTGACCTTTTACAAATTTATGGCACTTTTTAAATTTAATGTTGCTACACAAATACAAGTGCACACACATGAAGTTATTTCTTTAAATAGACCCTGCTATAATGTTACTTGGATATATGATTTCAAGGCTGGCAATTAGGTATTAGATAACCAAACAGTGTGCTCTTTCTTGGGGAAATAATTTTCTACCACTTTCAATATTCCTTAATTGCCTGTATTTCTTTGTGCATTATTAAGGCCTTACTGGGCTTTCTCCCCATGCACTTTGACATATATTGATTTTTGTTTTTCTTTTTGTTCAGCTTATTTTTAGGCATTCCTGTTGGTGAGATGTTATAGCTTCGGCTTTTGACATTACTAGAAGAAACAATCCCACAGCAAACTCTCTGATCCTCTGGTTCTGTCTGTCATTCTTTCTGGACCCTCTTCCTCAATATGTAGAGAGAGAGAGATTAACATCTAATATGTACAAAGACCTCAAAAAACAAAACACTGATGATTGAAATTTAAAACTACTTTAAGAATCTTTACCTCAGTCCTGAAGATACCTGGTAATCCAGGTTCAGATGGAAAGAGAGGAGAACCTCCTCTCTCAGTGGACTTGGAAGAGGGGGATGGGATGAGAGGAGGGAGGCAGAGTGGGATTGGGAGGAAATGAGGGAGGGAGCTATAGCTGCGATACAGTGAATAAACTGTAATTTATAAAAAATAAAAAAAATGAAAACTCAAAAGAAATGGTAGCAAGGCTGCAGGACAAAAGGAAGAGTTGTATCCCACTTGTGGAACACAAACTACTCCGATTATCATTTAAATCAGGATGACTGCATCACATCACAAATATCCAAGAGTGGAGCTACCATGTGACTCAACCATAGGACGTGTGGGTGAATATACTCCAGGATTCCAAACATACACACAACAGTTTCCACACACACAGCGGAGACCACCACACCCATGTTTATGTAGCTCTGTGCGCAGTAGCCGAGTTAGGAAATCAGCCACCTGGGCAATGGTAAATGGATGGCTAGAGCGTACGTGGTACATGTGCAGATACTTGCCGTTTGGCCAACCCCCAAGAGGATGGAGTGTTTATTTGATGGAAAACAGACGCAAGTCCGTGTCGTCATTTTAAGTGAATTAAATCCGATACAGAGAGGCAAAACACCATGTTTTCCATTGTCTGTGAATCCTTGAACTCTTGATATGTAGAAGGATAAGGATCTGAAAGTGGGAGTGAAAATTAGGGGAGATGGAAAGAATGGAAAGAATAGAGAACAACGAGGATGAAAGGGAGGGAATGGAAGTGTGCAGAGTGTGGACAAAATTGTCACGGGAGATGCAGCAGCACACACTATGAATATATGTCAGTACATAGCCTTGCATAACTGACAATTTAATTTTACCTGCATGTCTTTAACTCTTAGTAACACTGTGTGTGTGAGTGTGTGTGTGTGTGTGTGTGTGTGTGTGTGTGTGTGTGGTGTAAGGCTGTGCATATATACCATTTTTCTGCATTTAATGACAATCCCACAAAGAGAGAGAGTAAATAGTAAAGATGCTCATTATGAAACTAAGGAAAACTAATTTCAGAGAGCAATAGCCAAAGTCAAATGACCATGAAAATATCAGGGTTTGAATATAATGAACCCTTTCATTCATATTTTTTAAATTATTTTCCATTGATAACATAGGAAATGTATTTTACCCTTGCTTTTCAATAACCGTGTTAAATTTATTTCTAGCAGATTTTTAACCTTGCTCTTCCTTTTAAAAATATATACAAAACACTGATCCTAAAATCAAAATTACTATGTAAAACTTAGAAAACATTTTTTTTTGTTTTTAATTGACCTATTTGGTGTGGGGTTTTTTTTTGATATTTGATTAAACATTATAAATTACCATCCATCATATTAAGGTCATATCATATCTTAAAATACATAAGATTTCTAGAAAGACCTAAAAGTAACTACAGTTAAAATTTAGAAGCCCCACCCTTGGGCTGGAGAGATCAAGGTAGAGGTCTGGTTATGGCAGCCATGCCTTGCAACAGGTTGGGATTGAGGGATGGTGGGAGAATCTGGAGGCCAAGTCAACTTGGTTAAATAGGCACCTCGGCCACGTGTCCCAGGTGAATTCAAACAGCTGTCATGTAATAAATATGTTTGCTTTGGTGGAGACAGTCTTTATATTCTTTGGAGTTATGGGGTTCATAATAAAAGTGCAATCTGTTCTATTTGTACTTCCTAGTTGTAACTTATCTTGAAACCCTGGAAATATAGTGAAAAACCAAACACATATCTGGAGATAAAGTGATATAATCTGGACGTCTTGGAAGAAAATTTGGGAATACACTTGTGAAAACATTTGTGTCTATTTAGAGTTGCACATTTAACTTGTGGCACAAATCATATTATCTTTCACTTAATGATACAACAGCTACCATCTTAAGCACTAAATTGCCAACGAACAAGAACATAAATATTATTGTAGTTATAATAGACTAATGTGCCTATTAGGTATAATATTGAACTATACATTAAGATACTGTTTTCATATTGAGAAACAACTCAAAGATAATTTTGTTTAGATCTTCTAAATAAGAAAATTTAGGTATAGCAGTGCTAACACGTAGGAACAAAATAAGGAGACAGAGATTGTGCAAATTTACCTATGCAATGATATTCTATGTTAAGAATGTTTAAATTCAAATAAAAACAGCCTTTAAAGAACATAGTGAATCATATATTTCACTGTAGGACAGAAGTTTAAACTAGAGCCAGACTATGATTTACTGCCAGTATTTCTGCGTTCCTCCACATCCTTCACCCCATGATGTGATGGTGGGATTTCATCTGGTAACTATTCTAAATTCTCACCTCAACTTTTCCTCCCCTTAGAATGATATTATCTTTCAAATTGTACTCAAGAAGAATTTATCACCCTGACAATACAGCATTAATCAAAGTGAAAAAAAAAAACAGATATTTTGGAGTATTTCTGAGTAGATGGCAGGCATTTTGTAAAAGTTAAGGTCCAAGAGTAAAAGTTTTATTTAAAAAAAAAAAAATAAAGTGGCACGCTTAATGGCAGCCTCTGTGCTGCAGAACTGTGGTTTCCACTGTCAACTGAACCTCTCTCGGTGTTGAGTAATGAATGAGTACCAATGAGCACACTGGCACAGCCATACTTCCATCAGTTCCAACTTAAGGAAGTTAATACACATCTCACACCATCTTACTTTGCAGGTTTGAAAACAGAACTGTGAATGCCTCCATTCATGATAATTTTTGGTACGGTTTGATTTGGCGACAATCAAACCATAATGTGAGGTTGGTTTTGAACTTGGGACCCTGATGCCTCAGCCTCCTGAATATCACATCCCACCATATCTACAACAACCCTCCTTCTAGAGGGTTAAATGTTTCTGGCTTTCTGCTTGCATAGTTTTAGAAATGATGTATTGTAAAGAGAGCCTTTGTTCTAAATTGATTGCTCCAAACCTGGCAAAAGAATTCTGCCAAATATAAAGATTAAGAGATAAGGCAAGATACACAGAGAATGAAAATGTATTTTTAAAGGCTCAAAGAATATTACAAATTCATTAGCTTCAATGCTTAATAAATATTATTTGCAATTAGCATTAACTATACAATTTTTCTGTAAGAATAAGTTATATACTGAATTTTCCCATCAGTGCATATAATTGTGATAGTCTGTGTACTATCAATTAAAAGTAATGCCTTGGAAGTACTTTTTTAAAATCAACTTAATTTTTAATTAAATTACTTATTTAAAAAACACATACTTTTATACCTGTTAAGCAACTAAATAACCATAAAAAAGATAAGTGTTACCTCCAAATTTCTATTGATAAAACATAACTCTGTTCTCGCAGTTTGTTCTTCTGATGAATTACAGATTGACTTATTAGAAAAATTTTCCTAAAAGTAGGCTTTACCTTAACTGACTTCTTTATCAGAATTTAGGGAGGAAATCAATAAATGACTGCTCAAAAGTTTCATCTACTCCTTCTACTACAATAAAATGTCAAGTGCAAGCTAGGAAGAAAAGGCCAAAATTTTCAATCATCAGGCAGTTTGAAACAAAACAAAAAACAGAATTTGTACCAAAGTCCCTAAATATATATGTAAAAATACAGAGAAAGCCAAATACTTAGAGAGAAACAAGTATTCCTTG